GAAAAGGGTTTTAAATAAGTTTCTATACCACTCTATAGAACTAAAACATCAGCCAGGTGCTGGTGGCACACGTCTGTAATCAGAGCTACCCACGATGCTGATATCTGAGATTCATGGTTCCAAGTCAGTACAACCAGGAAAATCCTTGAGACTCTTATTGTCAGTTAACCACCAAAAAGCTGGAAGTGGAGGTATGGCTCAAGTGGCAGAGTGCTATCCTTGAGCACAAGAGCTCAGGGACAGCACCCAGACCCTGAGCTCAAGCCCACGTAAAACAGGGAGGAAATAGAAAATGAAAGTATCTTCAGCATAATATACAATTAATTCAAGGAGGAGTTCTAGGAATGGAAAGAAAGGCAGTGATACAGAGGCCTACAGAATCCCTCCCTGAGACCTGAAGGGATGGATATATATAGACAAATCACAAGGAGGCAGGGCATAGGGGTGGGATGTGGGAATGGATGCTTCCCAGTTAGTGTTGGTACTTTGGGAGCTCAGAGGAGGATCCTGGTAGAGTGGACAGAACATTAGAAGCTGGGACCCTGGTCAGCTGAGGGGCAAGGTTCTGGGCTTGGGGAATTGGAACTTACTGTAGCTTTTGGAAGGCTTGGCACTGCCCGTGTGGTGGAGTGACTGAGTGGGGGTTGATAAACAGAAGTGTGCCCCTCCTTCACCTGCCAGCCTTCAGTCTTCCTTTAGCTTCCTGTTGACCCAGCCTAATCTGACCTAGCAAAGAAGAAATTCTGTTCAAGCAGACGCCAGCTGGATGGTCTTCTAGCTGAAGTATATGCAGCACACAAGTCTGGGTCACTAAGATTCATGGTACTAGACAGAAAGAGCTGAGTGATCTCCTTTGAAACCTCAGTCCCCATGATCTTCATTGTAATCTTGAGACCCAAGCAAAATTCTAGCAGGAATTCTAGCTGACATAGTGGTGGAGATGCTCCATTTGGGCTTGTGTCACCATCCAAATGCTGTGTCTGTGATGACCTGCAGGCAGCTTGCTCTGTTGGTACTTAGCTTTCCTTATGTCTGCACAGGGAAGAGGCCATCAATCTGCTTTGTAGCTTATTTGGACATTTTAGAAAAATAAACTTTCTAACTGGAGAAGGAGTGATTTGTCTTTAGGTTTTTTTTTGGGGGGGTCGGGTCATGGAGCCTGAACTCTGGGCATGGGCACTGTCAGCTCTTCAGCCCAAGGCTAGCGCTCTACCACTTGAGCCACAGCATCACCTTCCAACTTTTTCTGCTTATGTGGTGCTGAGGAATTGAACCCAAGGCCTCAGGCATGCAAGGCAAGCGCTCTACCACTGAGCCACCTTCCCAGCCCAGGAGTGATTTGTCTTATGGAAAGATCGTTTTGTTTCCATCAACTTTGTAGAGAAATTTCTGCTTAAAAACTAAAAGATCATTAAAAGATTTGGTAATTGCAAAATGGTTGAAAGCACAACTGTTTTGTGTGTGTGTGTGTGTATGTGTGTGTGTGTGTGTGTGCGTAATATCTCTCATGGTAGGATAATGAGGTAGGGGTCTGGTGCTGGTGGCTCATGCCTACAATTCCAATTAATTTGGAGGTGGAGATTGGGAGAATAATGGTTTGAGACCAATACAGGCCAAATAAATACATATATAAATACAGGGTAAATATTCTGAGACTCTATATCAACTGAAAAATTCAGTATGGTGGTATGTATCTGTCATCTCCCAGATGACAGATACATACTTGCAGGAGGATTAGGGGGATTGCAGTCAAGACTGTCTTGAGCCGGGTGCTGGTGGCTCACATCTGTAATCCTAGCTACTCAGGAGGCTAAGATCTCAGGGTCACAGTTCAAAAGCCAGCCCAGACAGGAAAGTCCGTGAAATTCTTATCTCCAATTAACCACCAGAAAACTAGAAGTGGCGCTGTGGCTCAAGTGGTAGAGCATTCGCTTTGAGCTAGACAGTACCCAGGCCCAGAGTTCAAGCCCCATGACTGACAAAAAAAAAACCCAAACAAAACAAAACAAAACAAAAACTATCCTGAGCAAAAATGGAAAGCCTATAAAAATGACCAGAGAAAACAAGGGTTGAAGGTGAGCTTCAAGTGATGGAGCTCCTGTTTGGCAAGTGAGAATCCCTGAGCTCAGCTCAGTATGACAAAAAATAAAATTAAAATTTATTTCCAAACAGTTAAAAGAACTGGGCCCTGTTGGCTCACCCTTGTAATCCTAGCTACTCAGGAGGCTGAGATCTGAGGATCATGGTTCAAAGCCAGCCAAGACAGGAAAGTCTGTGGGACTCATCTCCAATTAACCACCAGAAAACTGGAAGTAGTGCTGTCACTCAAGTGGTAGAGTGCTTGCCTTGAGCTGAAGAGCTCAGGGACAGTGCCCAGGCCCAGAGTTCAAGACCCATAACCAACAAAAAAGAAGAAGAAGAAAAAAGCCGGAAGTAGAGCTGTGTTCAAAGTGGTAGAGTACTAGCCTTGGTGAAAAACCTTAGTGGCACCTCCCAGGCCCTGAGTTCAAGCCCTATGACGGACAAAAAAAGCTAAAAGAATAAAGGGACAAGGATGAAAAGGAAACAATCGAGCAGGAAGTGGGTTACAGGCAGAGAGGTGGATGAATACCTGATCTGTAGAGACGATCACTGTAGAAAATGAGCCTAGAGCAACCACACTGCCCACAGAACAAGTGCGGAGTGCAGTGAACAGAAGTAGGCTTTGCTCTGGTGAGATTCTAATCTTGAGCCCTTTTATGATGTCACTAAGGCTCTTCACGAAGCCGTAATGCGTTCTCACAGTAGAAGAAACAGAAAAGAGTTCCCATTTCTCTGTGGAATAGCAGAACTCTGTGTGCCTGCAGGTACTTATTATGTCCTAAATGAATGGATGGATGAAGTGATGGGTGGATGAATGGGTAGATGAATGTAAGAAGGAATGGATGGGTAGAGAGAGGAAGGGATGGATAGGGCCATGTATGTAGATATGTGTAGATGAAGGAATGGATGGATGGATTCAGAGTTAAGCCTGTGCATCTCATTGACAAACATTCATTGATCACAGTTTGAGGAACATGTTTTATGCCAAAGGCCATAGGACATAACTGGATTTGAGGGCCATACAAATTTACAGTCATATGGCTAGAATCAGATGGGCCCTAGGCAGCTGATGAGAAGATACATGTCGGTCCTGCCATGTACCATAAGAGCCTCCGGCAAGATGCTCCCTGCCTCTGCTAGAGAAAAAGCAAATATGCCTGCTTGATTTGTTATCAGTGATCAAGTTCTTACCTTGCTATTATTTTAATCACATCACCAAATTTTTTTCTCCCAAAGGGCAAAACAGAAGAAAAGGGAGAAATTGATTATGAGAGAAAAGGTAAAATTTACAAAGATCTTGTCGAATTTTTAAAAGACAAATCAACAGTATTTTCAGAAAGTATGTCTAAACAGGTAAGTTTGGACTTTTGCAATTTGGTTGTTAACGTTGACCATAACTTTATGTAGTCTAAATATCTGAGAGTGATTTTTTTTTCTGTTTTTGGATACTCATTTTAACTGTTAACATTTTCTTAAAATAATGTAAAATAGCTCATGTTTGTAAAGGTAGCATTCTTTTAGATTTTTTTCTTTCAAAATACTACCTTCACAAGTCAGGAGCTAGAAAACATGCCTATGAATCATAGCTACTCAAGAGGTTGGGATCTGAGAATCATGGCTCAAAGACAACCTAGGTAGAAAAATCTGCTATAGTCTTATCTCCAATTAAGTACCAAAAAGCCAGAAATGGAGCTATGGCCCCATGGCCTAGTAACTGGGAAGGAGGGAAGAGTACGTGGAGGGAGACAGAAACAAAGAACAAAGAAAGGAAAGTAAGAGAATGGGAGAGAGGAAGGAAGGAAGAGAAAGAGAGAAAGAAAAAGAAAGAAAAAAGAAAGGAAGGAAGGAAGGAAGAAAGGAAGGAAGGAAGGAAGGAAAAGAAAGAAAAGGAAAGGAGGAAGGGGGTGGGAGGGAGGAAGGTATGGTTCCCTTAGGCATCTGAGCCTTTCCTGGACTGATCACCAGTTTTAATCTTCAGATGGCACTAGGTGATTCAGAAGTGATGCCACTGTAAAAAAAAAAATTACTCTTTATGCTTTTATACAGGAGGCTAAACGCAATGAAGAGCAGCAACAAAATAAGACTGATGGAAAACCCCAGAAGGAAGAACCCTCTACCTCCCAGAAAACTGTACCTGGTTCAGACATCAGTAAACTGGAGAAAACCCAAATTGATTTTGAGAAGAGTCAAATGACTAAGAGATTGCAGCCAAGCTTAAACTGGAAGACCTCTGTTGATTTAAAAGAGTATGTAAACCTTTGCATGGTGGGTTTTCTGATTCATCTGTGAGCATCTCCCATTGGCCTAATTATTCCTGTAACTTGATTTCATGGGAGAAAAATATAAGGTGAAAATTGACAAATCCCTCCATAGCACAAACTTTTCCCTGTACCCTCTGACTGTTCATCCCATGTGGACAGATTTCCTGTCCATACATCCACCTGACAGATTTCACAGTAGCAGTGCTGGTGTCTGTGGAAGGAAGAGAGTATGGAAGAGAATAATTTGGGAGTCAGGGAAAGCAAGCCATAGAAAAATGATGGTAAACATGGAGAAATGACACGGAAATGCTAATGTAGTAGATTATCATTCTATGGAGTTATTCAGAGAAACTTTCATGGTGGCAGTGTATTCTCCATCAGTACAATTTTCTTTTATTTTCTAGAGTACTCACCTTTCTTTCTTTCTTTCTTTCTTTCTTTCTTTCTTTCTTTCTTTCTTTCTTTCATTCTTTCTTTCTTTCTTTCGTTCTTTCTTCCTTTCTTTCTTTCTCTTCCTCCCTCCCTCCCTCCCTCCCTCTCTTTCTCTCCTCCCACCCTCTTTCTCTCTCTCCCTCCCTCCTTCCCTCCCTCCTTCCCTCCCTCCCTCCCTCCCTTCCTTCCTCCCTTCC